AAAGCACACTGAGGAGGAAAACATCATCAGTGTATGTGAGTCTCGGAGCACATATCTGAAATGGAGGGAGCTGATCAAGGAGAAGTGTGACTTTGACATTGAGCATCTGTCCATAAATGAACTAACCCTGAGTGAGATCAATGGCACCATAATGATGATGGGACCATTCAGTCAGTCATCTGTACGGCTGCTTCCCTCTTCTGGTTCCAGTACTGTTGTCCTAACACAGAAGGATGAAGATTTATTGACAGCTCTAGATGTTTTATGTACAAACCAATGTGAAAGCGTATCTGATGAAAACAGTTCAGAGTTTCATGAATTTAGAATCAGTGTTGAAGAAGAATTCTACAGAGGTGGCAAAGTGAAATGGTGGAACTTCTACTTCTGTGACAAAGACAAAGCGAAGCCATTTATCAAGAGAGACAAGTATGAGAATGTGATGAAGCTGATCAGATCTCAGTGGAGAGCTTCAAACGACATGTGTGTTCTGCTCAACCTGTTTCACCATCCTGGCTGTGGCGGCACCACCTTAGCAATGCATGTGATGTGGGACCTCCGTCATGAATTCAGATGTGCTGTGCTGAAAGACAACTCCATACCCAAAACAGAAGTTGCCATCCAAGTTATTAAACTAATGAAACTTGAAAGTGACAAGCCGTCTCCAGTTCTGCTCTTAGTTGATGATTCAAAAGAAACTGAGAAACCTTATGACCTTGTAACCTGCATACGTAAAATAGCAGTAGATGAAAACTTAAATCTAAGTTTGGGTGATCCACCAAACTGCAAAGTTATCATCCTTAACTGTGTTCGTTCCCATAGTCCAAGGGAGCAATACAGACAGCACAATCAAACACAGAATCAGTTCATAACTGCTTCTTTGACCCCACAAGAGCAGAAAGATTTTGAAAAGAAACTCAAAGAGCTTGAAGAAACTCATGAAAAACCTGAAAACTTTTATAGCTTCATGATATTGAAGAGAAACTTTGATAAAACATATATTAATGGCCTTGCACATAACACAATGGAGAATTTTGATTTCAGCACAAAGGAGTCCCAGCTGTTTGCCTTTCTAGCTTTACTGAACACTTACGTGGAAGAATCAGAAATATCTCTCTCTCTCTGTGAGGATTTTTTTGGGATGAAATTTTTTCGCTGGACAGAGGACAGTGTTTTGGAAAGAATGAATCCGTATTCAAACTTTCTCATCATAGACAGAGTTGAAGAATGGGGTGGATACAAAGGACTCAGAATACTTCATCATACCATAGCATCTGCCTGTCTGGCTGAGTTGGAGAGAAGCTGCTACAAAAAAGTCAGTGATATCACTATGCACATGCTCCATTATGATCTGTTCTTCAGTGCTGGAGTCATTAAACACCGACTGATGCTCTCAATTCAACGAATGTTGATTGAAAGGCAACGTAAGAAAGATGGAGATGAGAGAGAACTATTTTCTCCTCTCATACACAAAATCCATAACCAGCAGGGGAGACAAACCGTCCAAGAAATCTTTGTGAAAGCCTCATCCAGATTTGTGACAAGTGCATCTATTCCTCAGGCATTGGCGAGATATTTGTACATCAATGAGCGTGACTACCCAGAGGCTCTGAAGTGGGCAGAAAAAGCCAAAGACATTAAAGAAAATCCTTACACCTTTGACACAATTGGACAAATTTACAAAAGCAATTTAAAGTCTAACATGGACAGAGAAAAGCAGGAGAAATCACAAAATCCAGAAGACTTGCACACAAACATTAAAATAGCCATCAATGGTATGAAAGCTTTCCAAAGAGCCCAAGAGCTGGCAGAGCTTGCAGACGAACCACAAGAAGAAACAGCTGATGATAACTCAGAGGACTACCCCAGAAAGTCATATAATGTTTATGGCTATGTGAGCATGCTAGAAATGGCTTTCTTGGTCTTTGACATACTGAGCAAGTTGCCTTTCTTTTGGGAACACAACCCAATTAAGAAAATGTACCTCCAGAGCTTTCTTAGAGGAAAAATTAGGATGACAAGTGTTCACAAAGAGGACAATGAGATCAACAACAGATTTGTTGAGATCATCAACGAACACGAGGGATTTCTTGTCAAACTAAAATCTGAAGTCAAAGAGATATTTGATTTTCTTGACTGTTACTTTGCTTACATAAAAGTGAACTCTGAATTTGATGCATTGAATCATAGAACAGTCTCTGAACATTTTAAGAAGTATGTGCAGCTTTTCTGTACAACACCAGAAGAAATGAAGAAAGAAAAAGAAAACAAGTCCAACCTCAATTTGAAATTGGATATTGAGGAACGCAAAGTGTTTCTTGAAAAGAACCAAGCAGACACTTTCTCAGGAATACTTCAACATTTGGACAAGCCTGCTGAAGAGATGGAGAAGATCACAGAATGCTACGCATTTCTGCACAAAGCTGTCAGCCAAAAAAACATACAAATGAAAATTAATTACATCATATCAAACATTGTACTTTGTCATCTGAAACCAAAATCTAAACATGTCAAGAGTTACGGATTCCTTTCTGCTCTCCTTTTAGAAACTCTGCAGGATATAGGACTATATCATAATCTCCCAGACGCTTATTATCTGGCTCTGCTGTTATTCTGGCCCAGTCCTACTGAGGAAAACACAGAAATCGGGAAATATGTGACAGCTATTCGAAAGTCCTCCCACAAACGCCTGTCCAAGTTATTGCACAAGAGAAGCACCATTGCTTACTTTTATTTAACAAAAGAGGAGGGACTAAAGAGGCTTGTCTCCAAACCCACACTAGATGAGAGCTTTCTGCAAAAGATTTCTCGTGACACCTTGGCACAACTTTGGAGGAACGGAGACATATTTAAGGAAAAAGCAATCATCAGCCGCCTACACAGGGTCAGTGGAACCATTGAGCAAGAAGACGTGTATGCAAACTATGGTAAACAGAAGATTCCGGTGCGTCCAGCTCGCATAAGTGGAATCAGAAGTGGCTTCAGCACAGAAAAAGTGTCTTTCTACCTTGGATTTGCCATTAACGGACCAATTGCATATGATATTAAATATGAAAACTAGGAAGGCGACATTAAAAATGCAACAAGTGAGCCAAGAAACTGAAATGAAATGGAGTTAACCGCCAATGTTTTGCTGTTAAAAATCAACTTGTAAAAGAACATGTAGGAAGAGACTTGCACTGCTGCAGTACATTTATGGACTATCCATATATAATTGTATATAAATTTAGTCTGTTTATTTCTGTTTATTTAATTTAATGCTTTTCAGATAGTTTTGGTTCTGGTATGAAAAGATTCAGTGGTTATTTGGAACAGCATGTTGTAATTATGTAAGAAATATAAAGTTTTTTGTTACTTTTCATTTGAAAAACATTGTTCCCATCAGTCATCTTATTAGAATTACAATCAGTTTTTTGACACAATTATTTGACTGTAGAGTCAGAGAGATTTCTATTATTGATAAATGTTTCTAAGCTCTGAATAATAAAACAGAAAAAATGTGTAAATTTTGAAAATTATTTACAGGTAAACAACAAACAAGTCTTATGTATCATCATCATAATTTAGGTCTTTCTCGAAACTTGAACATCTTGCTTGATGGATATATGCACTTGATTTTGGCCATCTGTCTTTACAGTAATAAATGTCAGGATGTTCCTGAAATAAACACATGAATGTTTATTTTAAACATTTCTGTTTTTAACTTTTGCCTCCAGCAGAATTCCTTGACTGATAGTGTTTGTATAATTTTGTCCTCCTAAAATGCGGAAAGTCTTTGCTTCTGACATGATCCATATTTATGTTTCTGATGTTGGTATATAAGGTTTCGCAAAACATATTCAGACTCTAGTTAAAAATGACACCCCCTTCAACCAGAACATATTGTATTTCTCATTCTGCATCCAGTCAAAACAGCATCAACAAATTAAAGTGAAAAAATGCTCAAAAGTGGACAATATATTGCATCTAAATTTGGTGTCTATAAATTTCCCACCAGCCCACTGAATAAACAATGGGCTGTGAAGTCAGTTCCTTAATCATTAATATGAAAGATGACATGATAATTGATCAACAACCACTGATCAATGGCCATGAATACCATTCACAGAGAGTTGGGGAATGGCTGCAATCACAACACCTTGGAATTTGTTGAGAAGGTGAGAGACGTCATTATGGAGGCAGATGAAACAATGGTCTCATAAGATGTCACATCCAGTGATTGGAGTAACGGCGTTACTAAAGGCATTACTTTTTTCAGTAACAAGTAATCTAACTAATTACTATTTCTATCGTTACAACGCAGTTACCATTACTAACAAGAAAATGCCAGGTTAAAGCTGATATAAACTATGGTTAAAGCTGATATACGTTTCAAGTCTAATGATATACTTACATTGAAAGAGAAGGTTGTTGGTTCAGTGCAGGGTGCTGCTGGGCTTCCTTGCTGAGTGGAGTCTGGACCGTTAGAAGTGGCGCTATCTTCTTCTTCGTTGGTTTGGCTTGCCAGGAGCTAGGGGGGGCAAAACAATCATTCTGCTGATTGGCTGAGAAAGACTAAAGTAGTTGTGGTAAACCAATCACATGACTACTTCAAGATGACGGTAACAAGAAGCTATGTACCAGTTTCTTAAATCGTGTTGAAAGGCCACGTAAAACCAGAGTCATGATTAAAAAACTGTTTTTTGCTGAATACTATCATCACATTTACTGTCTAAGAACAGCAGTAGCAAGCACTCTCTGCTTACGACCAAAACAAAAAGAAAACAAAACAAAAAACACCCCATTTGTATTGGTGGAAAAATGTATCATGTGGACCAACCAAAAAATATATGGCAACATGTGCGATTTGGTTGCTTAGGAAGAGGGGAAAGTTTTAGGAGTGATGGCAGTGAGAAAGCGAAAGAGAGCGAGTTTTGAGATATGAGAGATTTGTGACGTTTAGTGTGTTTGGGGTGTACAGTTAGTGTGTAGTTAGTGTTTAGTATAGTGGATAGTTTTGTTTTGTGTGTCAGAACAATGATGTGACTGCTGAATGTCACAGGTGCTGCCAAAAAGCCACCAAAGGCAGATTGCAGTGTTAATACTAAGTCCAGGTGGAAAACCGGAGGAGTGATACACCTCCTGTTGTCAGGCCTGCAGGTATCAAGCTAGTGATGTTCTCCTCAGTCTTAAAGTGAACAGAAATTAATTTTTGGAGACGCACAAATAATTAAATATATAGGGCTTGCATGATAAAGATGAGAGGGCTCTGTTTGCAGAAATGCAGCAGAAGATGAATAGTTTGAGCAGGGGGGTGAAATCATGTGAAACTATGGCTCATGTGAAACTGTGGGGGTAGACAATGTATGAAGAGAGGTGCCAGAAATTGTCCATATGTATCTGCACTGTGACCACTCTCTGACCTGGCCTTAAGTAGGAAATAAGGAGGAGGAAAGAAACAGGGAAATTTGACATTTTTCATGTCTGAGAATAGCAGGAGGAATTTGGAGCCAGGATATATGTAGGTAAGAGACAAGACAGCTGCACAAGTCAATGGTCATGGATGGATGGAGTATATGGATTCGATGATCACAGTCACATGTGGGGGGTCAAATCAAAGTGTTTAAATGTATAGTGTGACTTTGAGTATAAATCTAACAGGCTGAAGGAGCACGCTTCAGATTTGCAGGAGGCTTTGCGCTGTGCACATCTCCCCATGCGCATGGGTAAATAAAAAGGAACATGGGAAGTGAAGTATTCTGTCTCGAGTCGTGTGTGTCTTACCAGGTCAGAATCAAAGGATCGGGAGTGACAAAAAACAGTCACTTCAAAGGTCAAATTGCATTACATTTCTTCACGTCAATATACGGGCTGACATGTGCTGCAAGTGGCCCCCGGGTGCGAGTTTAAGACCCTTGGTCAGTGTAGAGGATGGAAATCAACCAAGACTGTGAAACATCTGCTGACATCTGGTTATATTCAGTTGTGTACATCCACAAAGAGCAGCAGGTCAGCTGATCACAGCCTGTACACTAAGAAAATTTACTGGAGCTCTCAACAGAAATGACCATGACCTGTAATTCTTTTCCCCACAATGAGCCAATACAACTGATCTTAGTTTCCCCAACCTGCTGAATCCAAAAACTGGATGAGGTTAGTGATGTAAGGTTCAAATTTCAGAAACCTTTCATTAATTCCCTTTATATAACATAAACATGAGAACATTTGTGTTTAAATTTGCTCTGTAATATGTTTTTACAAAGTGTTGCGTTCTCTCATTGTGTATGTGCTGTCCTCCGTTTCAGGCATGAATGAACACAAATATAAAGACAACACTGCCTCCCTGTGGAGAGATTGCATCCTAGGCAAGACCATGGCTCTTTTTTTGTTCAAGAGCTTTAAATCTAATGGAAGTGTGTGCGTTTAGAAACTAGAAAGAGACTGTTCACAGTCACAGTTTCCTTTAGCTTAAATATGATCACTTCACATGCTGTGAAAAATAATTAGTGTCCTACAGCCATACGACATGATGATATTGAATTACAGTATGTGTAAACACTGATCTGCTGTCCTGCTCTCTCTGATTGCAGGAAGAATTTAAAGACAGAAAGTGTGCGTGACTTGTGCCACTGCTCTTCAGCTGAACTCACCATCTATCCACTGTAACTGACCATACTCACACTAGTGCTGACTCTGGGTGATCAAGGTAAGTTTAATGATGTTTTTATCACTGTAACTTTTTTTTATTACACTGTTGCATGTACGTGTTGCATTTTACACCATTTCACAGACGATGAATGAGGATGGATCTGTTTAACTGAATGAAAAAGAAAAATGAAGAAGATGAAAAAAGTTTTGTGATGTTTTCCTTCTGAATGAGAATTTTGTGACGACTGCTGCCCACTCAGGCTGTGGACCAATGATGCCACAAAGTGTGATGGTCCTGACCTAATTTATCATACATAATAAAATCAACCATGATGCACTGAAATGTTCAAAATGCATGAAAAAATATGTGTCGTGTTGATGTCAACTATTATGGCTGATAGATTTGTTTTGTGGATACAACTGTGTCACAGAAACAGTAATCTGTAATCATGGGAGTTTTTCACATATATTTTTGTCATTTCAGGTCTTATTCAGTCTAAATAGGAGCTCACGGTGTACATTTGAGTGATGAAGTTCACTTATGTGGCATAAGCATTTCCACATAAACACTTCAATGCGACTTCTTTCGTGAACACAGTGAAAATCCATCACAGCTAAAATAGATGTTGATTTGCCATTAATATTTTTCTTTTATTATCATATAAAATATTTTTATTTAGCCATAATGCTAATAATAACATCCACATGTCCATCCACTTTCTAAGCCACTTATCCAGTTCAAGGCTGTGGGAGGACTGGAGCTGATCTCAGCTGACAGCTGTGTGTGTCTGGAGGAATGCAGGGAGATAAGAACTGTCTCCAGCTCTTCTTACACATGATACTGAGAAAAATAATTTTTAAAAACTGTGATTATTAGATACAGAACCATGATTAATATGTGGTTTTACTGATGGTTTACACAGTTGCACAAAAACCTAAAACTGATAAAAATATAACACAACATATTGAACATAAATATTTACCAGTTACTATAACTTATATGTGGTTTCACTAAGGGTTAATTATGTTCTCTAACATATCGAGACTATCTCTCCATTCGGTTATGTCACAGACCTGGGCAAAAGTGTCGAAATGCAGACCACACACGGAGGCACAGGTGAGCATGAGAAACAGAACTCTTTTTACAAGAACAACTAATAACGATTCAGACTGTGAGTACACAAGTAACTATGAACAACACGAAACACTTGGGCAACTAGAATAATTCAGTGGCAGGGGGCAATGTTCACAGGGCCTTGAAACAGGTGATCCAGCAAGGTGTCACAGGGAACTAGAACGACAGGAGGACAGAGTTAAAAGTGGTGTCCAAGGAGCCATGACGAAAATGTATAAACGGATCTTGTCTTACTTGGCAGGTTGAGGCTTATATGCACGAGAGGGGGAAAGAGGTGAAGCGGCGCTGATTCCAGGTGGTGGGCTACATGGGTGCTGTAACAGCTGGGCAGCCAGGTGCGCTGAGCTGTCTTGTACTGACCAGCGTCCAGATGATGGTGAGTTTGGCCAGCAGAGGTAATGACTATGGGTTGAAAGCACAAGATTAATCTCTCTAAGAACAAAAATACTCTTTCGCAGTCAGCTCTGTGATCACCAGCACTAACTGTAGTTAAACTGAAGCTTTCGGAGAGTAGTGGCGAGTGCTGGTCTTAAGTATGTACGGCCCAATTGCCAGCAGGTGTGGAGATGCACAGAGACTATTATAGGATGAACTTGAGGATCTTAAAGGGGCCTATAAATAAAATGTATTATTATTATAATTATTACATATGGAATATGTAACCTGTCATGGTCCGGGTGAGCGTGGCGTTTTTCCACAGAGTCTCTGTTTCCATCCCTGGTTTACTCACAACTTTCTTAAACTTAATGGCAATAAAACAGAATTTATTTTAATAGACACCAAATCAAAACTGACTAAAGCTCCAACCACAAATAGTACAAAGTGGGCCATTTATATGGATACACCGTAATAACATGGGAATGGTTGGTGATATTAAAGTCCTGTTTGTGGC